AAGGTGCAGTTGGCCTTCCTAGCCGCCTCCCCACATTGTTGTCCAGTCCCTTTTTGAATCTGTCTAAACTGCCAGCTTTCACAACATCCAGTGGCAATGAGTTCCAATGTTGCTACCCCTTGTTGCAGCATCCAAAAGGAAAATCAATTGGACGACAAAAGGTGGTAATAGGCTCTGCTGCTTTATTGCGGCAGACACCTATGAGCTTTGTGGTGGAAGAATACAAGCACTCTTCTGCCACTCGAGCCAGGTGCCTTTGGATGTTTGAGGGATGCTCAAGCCCTTAGAGCATTTGTCCACTTCCCCTGCTTACAGAGGGGCATTTTGGGGAACCTCAGAGTGCCTCCCCATAAGCAGGGAAGTCAGGGTTCCCTGCTCAGTCAGACCCACACCTCTGATCTGGCTGAGTGGAGAAAAGCCTATCTCTGCTTGGCTAGATCTGTGCCCCAGGTATGGCTCACCCTTCTCTGCTCAGTCAAACTCATGCCCTCAGAAAAGCCCTACTTTCCCTACCTAGCCTTACAGAGAGCCAAACTCAATGTCCTGCATTAAGTACCTGTGAATTATGTTAATTCACACTTTGCCTTGAAACAATGGTGACTAGTTTGACTTAATTGCCACTTACGCCTAGTCTGTAAATGGTTGTACAGTGTCTGTTTTGGTTACCCTGACCTAATCCCACATTTTACAACTGGGGAACTGAGTACCTGCAAGATCAAACCAGTTGTCTGTTTTTAGCTTGAGTGGGCAGGAGATTAGGTTCTCTCATTCCTTGGAGTCTCAGAACACCAGAGACTCTCTATGCCTGAAGAGGGGTGACTGGGCCTGAAAGCTTGCCAAGAACTTTTTCCCAACTACTCAGTTGGTCTAATAAAGACATCACACCTACTCAAAGAACCTTGCCTGCCAAGAGATTGCAGAAAGTTTAGTCCTGCGGTGGCAGCTTCCATGTCAACATCACAGCACACCCTTGTTTAATCACAGGGGTCCTGTTGTTCATGTGCTAATAGTGAATAAAGCAGTGATGCTCAACCAAGTTGCCACAGCACCGTAGGTTACCTTAGGTTAGCTTTCCAAAGGTGCGGTGGGGTCCCGCACAGTGTTAACGCTGTTAGGTGTGCAAACGTGATTCACAAGATAAACCCAGAGATTTCAAACAGCAGTCCATAGTTGTGGTTTTTCTGAGTTCTTTGGAATAGAAAAACTGCTCTATTTTTTTTGTAGGCAAGGGAAGAGTGAAAATAAAAAGACCTGGCATTTTCCAAGTCTAAAAAGGTTGAGAACCACTGGAATAAGCGAGCGTACAATCCCATGTAGCAAAAGATCTCCAAGTGCTTTACACCTGCAGAGTGGTAATATGCCTGGCCATGGCCATTTCAACGTGTGTAAATTTAACTTTCCTAGGACTCATCTATTTGTTTCTCCTTGCTTCCCTGAGCAAACAGGAGCTCTGGGGCCAATACATTTAGCACTTGTCTACTTAAAATCA